CAGGGACAGGAAGTGCATACATAATGTTTCCAGGCATTTACAAATTCAGACAGTAGAGGGCAGCAGATCCCTACACTAGTAACTTTAATACTCCATGGGCTTGATTGCTAAACAGCTTATTTTGTATCCAGTGTGCTCTGACGTGGCAACAAAATGACTTGGGTATAGTAAGAGAATTAATTCAGCACCAGCATTAAAGGTGAATGAAATAAAGATTAATAGATGATTTTTTTTTACTTGTGTATGTGGTGACTACAGCTTCACTCATTAGACTAATTTTCTTCAAGTGGTACAAAAGAACTTTTCAATGCATAGTCTCGATACCATGGTAAACAGATTAATTGCAGATGTTTAAGTAGTTTATAGAGCACAAATATATTACACAGCACTTTACAGGTTCCTTGAACTATGTATTTGCATCAGTCCCTGCCACTCAATATAGCAACAAATCTCTGCAAAAGTGATCTGCTGCTTGCTGATAACAGAAAGTAATAGCATAGTTGCCAACATTTCAAATACATTTTCAGGGACACCTTATTTTGTTGTGCATCCAGCAAGCAATTGTAGGTAGAGTATAGAGATGATCCTTCTTCACTTAAGGGTATGCCTCTAGTCCACTTCTTGAAGAAGTAGGACTCTACCCTGACACCCCTGGGATGCAAGGCTTGCAAATGGTCCACCTAGCCAAAAGGCCTTGCGGACCCCTCTCCTCACGGTTAGACAAGGCCGACTACTGAGTACTAGACAAGGGGCTTTCCCAAAGAGAGACCCCAAGGTTTTGGCGAGGAAGGAACCAAATGGCCACACATTCTCCCCCTAGACTTCAGGGTAGGCTTCAGGTTCCACACGCTCCATCCAAGTGAAAGAAACAGAGACAAAATGCAATGTGACAAAACAGTGAAGAAAAAATAAATGAAATAGTGCTGATGCAAGTGCACTAGCTATGCCTTGCAGAGCTAGGCCTGTAGGTGGTGGATATACTTTAACCATTAGCCGCCCGGCCAATGGCCGTTTGGTGGCTTCAAATGTGCTCCTGTATTCCGGGGTGCACGCCATTTGGCGTGCTCCCGCACATGCGCGGTTCGCGCGGTTGCAGAGCGACGCAGCAGTGCGATCTGTCACCGCCCGTGCACCTCGGACACGGCCGATGACAGATCCGAGTACCGGCTCCCGTTGCCGGTACCATGTGACCTGCTGTGACCAATCACAGCAGGTCACATGACAGTTGTATACAATGGATGGCTTCATTCATGATGCCATCCATTGTATACTAGTGCCTAGCTGTGAATGGTCACAGCTAATCACATGCACATGTCATGTGATTAGCTGTGACCAAATCACAGCTAAGCACAAAAAAAAAAAAGCTGAATGAATCGATTTCATTCAGGTAAATGCTTGCTTATAGCAAAGTAATTCTTTGCTATAAGCAAATTGTGTAAAAAAAAAAAAAAAAAAAAATGCTGATCACTTCCCCAAAGTAGTACAATGTTACTATGGTAACATTGTACTATTTTGGTCATAGTAAAATATTAAAAAAAATCTTAAAAAAAATAAAAAAAAATGTAATAAAAAAATTAAATATAATAAAAAAAATTAAAAATATATATATATATATTATTTTTTTCATACTGTCACCAGTCAGTGTCGCTGTTCACCGCCATGCCAGTTTATATGATGACGCTGTACTGCACTGGTGACAGTATGTAAAAAAAAAATAGTGAAAATATTTTTTTTAATTTTTTCATTTTCCGAAAAATTATGACAAAAAAATACAACTTCAAAAAACTCGCCATGCCTCTTATGAAGTACGTCGGACTGTCTACTCTGCAAAAAGGGGTCATTGGGGGATATCTGTACTGTTCTGACATTCTTGGACCTCAAGATATTAGATTGGCTGTCAGTACTTCAGGATTGATCAATATTCAGGTCTATACCATAGTTTGTGAACTCTATAACTTTCCTACAAACTAAAAAATACATCCTAATTTGGGTTATTTTCACAAAGACATGTAGCAGAATACATGTCGGCCTAAATTTATGAAGAACAATTATTTATTTGTAAACTTTTATAACAGAAACAAAGAAAAATGTGTTTTTTTTTTTCAAATTTTTGGTCTTTTTTTGTTAATTTAGCAAAAAATAAAAACCCCAGCGGTGATTAAATACCACCAAAAGAAAGCTCTAGTTGTGTGAAGAAAATGATAAAATTTTAGTTTGGGTACAATGTTGTATGACCGCGCAATTGTCATTCATAGTGTGAGAGCGCTGAAACCTGAAAAATGGCCTGGGCAGGAAGGTGTAAAATTGCACGGTATTGAAACGGTTAATAAGGGGTGGGACATTCTTTTAAAATGATTGTGGTTCCAAAAGTAGCATATCATTAACCTAATGCTTTGCTTTACATAAACATACAGTATATAAGTGTAGCAGGCTCCTTGTACAAGAGGATTTATCACACGTTCTGCAGTCGGTCCTTCCTTTCCCTCCCCTTTTGTAAAATCTGGGCATTCTGCTAAGCTCATGACTCATCCACTACACAGCAAAGAACGCTGGGAGGGGAGGAAGCAGGAAGTGAAGGGGAGAACAGAGAGACACGAGGCTGGAGAAAAGACAGGGACACGTGGAGCCCGTCCAAGCAGAGGAGGAGGCACTACAGCACTCAGCGCGGATAGAGGGACCCTGCTGTGTGTTCAGAGTCTGGTGAGCTGTCCCACTGGAGAGAGTAAGACACACCATTTACACTTTGCATATAGACTGGGACATCCGCACCCCACTGCTGGGATCTCACCCATCCGGGGCCCTGTGCAAGCCACAGATCCCTCTGCCTGCTTTGCCCCTCACCACAAGTGTAATTGAGACTGTCTGCCCCGGGGACTGACACATACTGGGAGATTGCATCCTGCGACTGCCCCTGGTCTTGGGGTGCTTTGTGTTGCGTTTAGACACTGAGGTTGGACCCTCTCAGCCCAGAAACCTAGTGAAATCTGATGTAACCCACACCAGCTGAAACTCCAAAGAAGTCTTCAGCTGCTATTTACTTCATTGTAAGGACTAAAACGTGCACCAACTAGAGCTCCACCGTTACAAGGACTAAAGTGGGGGAATCTGGCTTAGTAGCCTTATTAGAGGTACCTCTTTATTGCATTCTGTTCTGACTCTGAGGTGATTTTTGGCTAACGCCCCTCAGAAGCAGAATCATACACCGGTGTGGGTAATACATTTCATTTATATAGTATAAGTAAGTTTATTTGTTTGATATCAGTTGTATTCTGCTTAAAGTGCGACTCTGCCATCAGGAGATTTTTGGCTGTGAAGCCCTCTAGTGGCCGACCAAATTTACTGCATTGCATAAAAGAAGAAAAGTAAGTTTTGAAGTTGAAAGGGGAACCCCACCCCTCTACACTGCATTTCTTTCTCCATAAAATTGTTCTTGTTTCATTTAACCCTGTGTCAGCAAATTTCTTGGCGGGGTATTTGCTATTCATTACCAGTTGTGCCAGAGGGATTGGGTTTGCTTAGGGTTGGATCTATTGAGCGCAGGACCCATAATATATTCCAGCTTGTCCCAAGGGGCAGTGCTACATAAGAGACCCACAGTAATCAGGGCTAAAGAAAAACAAAAGTAAACATGGGGGCTGGCTTTACATACCCCACACTTTAAGGTTCATGGTTATCAGATCGTACCTGGTCCTGGTATGCTTAACAAAATTTCAACAAAATAAAACCGCTTGATTCTCTTGATTGTCTTTCTTGACCTTGAGATATATTATGAGGATGTACAAACATGCACAAATAAACTGACGTAATAAAAGAAATCCTTCATACACAGAAATCATACCATCTGTGGATGAAACTGGAATCATCCTTCCATCTAGCAAGAATGATCATCCACTTGATGTTGCCGTGGGCTAAAAACAGACCTGTGATTTTAGGCCCAACCTTGTTCTTCTCATTACATTTATGGGACTGACTGGCTGCAACTTACAAATTTAGACCTAAACATGATTCCTTGGCTCCATTGCTTCAAAACTCATCCTTCACCCCTGGTCTCACTCCCCAACATTTTACAAGGTGGACCAACAAATGCCTGCTATCTATTGCAGACATGTGTGACAGTAGAGGTGTCAAAACAATTCCTGTAGGAAACATACCAACTCCATCATACAGAATTCTATCGCTATACTCAAATAGAGCACTTTTTAGCTTCTTTGAAACGTACTTCTTACTTAACGTCTACATCAATGGAAGATTTATGCAGGAACTTTGATAAACACACGTCATAAATCTATATAATACTAGCTTCAGGGTCCCCAAAGCTGTTCTGTATGGAAAAGTGGAATTGAGACATGGGTGAGACATTTGAATTAGAACATTGGTGTAAGATGGCGCAGTACACTTCCAAGACATATGTCAACACCAATTGAAGCTAACTACAAAGTTTTTTTCTGAGGTGGTACTTATATGGTTCCAACAAGAATGGCATTGTATGTTTCAGGTGCCTCCCCACAATGCTTTGGAGCAGGGTAATTAAAATTCAGGAAGATCCTATCAGCAAAATTTTCTTGCAGCAGAGGTCAGAATCTCATATTCGCTCTGTGACTCGAATTCTTCACATTACAACCCCCCGTTTACATCAGTGTCCTTGTTCCCCCTGCACATCACAGTTCCCTCTTTACATCAGCATCATCAGTCCTCCCCTTCACATCAACATTCCCCCTTTTACATCACAGCCTCATTTAACATCACTGTGCTCCTCTGTGTTGTATTGGCCAATCACTGCTAGTTCACATACCTCCTTCAGCTCTGTGTATACAAAGGAGCATTGTCCATAATGGGCATGATATTGACACAGCTCCAGATTATCCACATTGGCTCACAATTGATATGATCCAAAAAATATTTAGACAGAATTCCTAGATTGTAAGTTCCAAGGAGCAGGGTCCTCCCATTCTCACCGCGCATGTGCGGCTCAGGGAGTGCGCAGCGCGCGGCGATTGGCGGTGCGCTGTTTCCCTCGGACACAGCGGATCACTGATCCACAGAAAGAGCCAAAGATGTCAGCTCAGTCATGTGATCAGCTGTGTCCAATCACAGCTGATCACATGTAAACAGGGAAATGCCGGTTATCGGTTTTTTCTCTCCTCACGAGCTGTCACGCTGACAGCTTGAGAGGAGAGGAGAGCCGGTAATCGGCATTCCGCGGAGGGGACATCTACACTGATCATCAGAGCACTGATGATCAGTGTGCCCTGATGATCAGTGTAGCCCCAGCAGTGCCACCTGTCAGTGTTCATCAGTGCCAGCTGTCAATGCCACATCAATGCCACATATCAGTGCCCAGCTGAGCTGCCTTTCAGTGTCACCTATCAGTTCCAGTCAGTGCCACCTATCAATGCCAATCAGTGCCACCTATCAGTGCCAGTCAGTGCAGCCTATGAGTGCCAGTGAGTGCCACCTATCAGTGCGCATCAGTGCTGCCTATCAGTGCTTGGCAGTGCCGCCTATCAGTGCCAGTCAGTGCCACCTAACAGTGCCAGTCAGTGTCACCTATCAGTGCCAGTCAGTGCCGCCTATCAGTGCCGCCTATCAGTGCTACCTTTCAGTGCCCATCAGTGATGTCTGTCAATGCCCATCAGTGCCACCTACCAGTGCCTCCTCATCAGTGCCAATCAGTGCCACGTATCAGTGCCCATCACTTCAGCCTCATTAGCGCACACCAGTGAAGGATAAAAATCACTTATTTACAAAATTTTATAACAAAAACTAAGAAAAAAAAATTTTTTTTTTCAAAATTTTCTGTGGTTTTTTTCGTTTGTTTAAAAAAAAACAACCCAGAGTTGCTTAAATACCACCAAAAGAAAGCTCTATCTGTCTCAAAAAATGATAAAAATTTGATATGGGTACAGTGTTGCAGGCCCGCGCAATTGTCATTCAAAGTGTGACAGCGCTGAAAGCTGGAAATTGGCCTGGGCAGGAAGGGGGTATAAGTGCCTTGTAGGCAGTGGTTAAAGAAATTGAGCTCTGTCATTTCAAAGCCATTGTATATAATTTTTAGAGACTCTTTAATGACTGTCATAGTACCACTGGATTGGCGTAAGGCCAATGTGGTGCCAATATTTAATAAGGGGTCAAAATCTTTACCAAGTAATTATAGACCTGTTAGTTTAACTTCTATAGTTGGGAAGATACTGGAGAGTTTAATAAAAAAACCACATAAATGAGTTCTTGCTGGAAAGTGTGAACATAGCTAACGAGGGTGTTCCGACTGCTTTGATGCCCATAGCAAAAGTGAGCTCTGACTTTAACCTACCACCCACCCAATGTACAGGAGGGTCCATTTCAGTGATACTCTTGTACTATACTGATACCCTCCCTCGATTTGTAACATTGATGTAGATGTGATGTAGCTCATGTTTGAAAGTCTAGAAAAGGGGTGTCAAACCGGCAGCCCTCCAGCTGTTGCGAAACTACAAGTCCCATCATGCCTCTGCCTTTGGAAGTCATGCTTGTAACTGTCAATCTTGTATTGCCTCATGGGAATTGTAGTTTGGCAACAGCTGGAGGACCGCCACTTGGACACCTGTGGTCCAAGACCTAGAAGACCATACCTCCCATGTTGCACCATAGGAATGCTAGAATTACCTAATTTTTCTGTACCTTTTTTTGCATGCAACAAACAGTAACAATGTAAACAATGATTCTGAGGTTTTAAAGGGGACTGAAGATATTAAAGGATAAATGCCCCTTAAAAAAAATAATAATTGTACATCTTTTTGCAGGTAAAAAAAAGTGCATTTATTATTTTTTTCTTTATTTGGAGCCTAGAAAGCATTGCATCTGCGATCAGCTGATCTCAGCTGCCATGCAGAACTCCTGCAGCCCTGTCAGTGTATCTGTCTGCTCCTACTTTGTGCGGGCAGGTAGATACACACTGACAGGAAGAGACAATGAACTACCGCAGCACTCAACAGCAGCGTGATAGTTCATTGAGGACTACAAGCCGGCAGCCAGGAAGGCTGTTACTAGATGCAGCTGAGCAGGCAGCAGTTCCAGGAGTGGGAACATGCAACATGTTCCCAAAGGTGAATTTACCCTTTAACTACATCTGCAATCATTCTCTACAGGAAAATCACTACATACATAATGTAATGCCTTCTAAACCTTGGATACCCCCAGCACTGTGACAACTTTACTCCCCAGATATCCTCCCAGACTAATCTACAAGCTAGATACCCCCTATACCCTCACTTCGCTACCCCCTATACACCCCTGACCCCCCCCTCAGCACTGTTTCCCCCATATATTCTAGATACCATCCATCACTGTTATCCCATCTATACATTGCCCCCTTTGCTATTATCGTCTCTTCTAGCCCCAGTACAGATGCAGTGCAAATGAAATTTTGTGCCCCCTTCCAGCACTGTGATGAATATTGTTTCCTAGACTCACCTGTGTACTGAAGTCATGCAGAAGGCAGTGCAGAAGAGAGAATGAAAGTGAGGTATAGCTGAGACCCTCCAGCAGGAGTGGAGCTCTTCCAAACGATCATGCCTCATTCAAGGGCATCCTAAGCCCAGTGATGCTCACAGACTGGACATGGTATGGTCCCAGCTGCTGGGACAATGTAAGTGGGGTGGGGAGAGAGGCGGGGGTCTTTGCTGGCCAAAATGTCAGCTTTAATGTAAGATAATGAGGCAGAAGGGGGTTGATTTAGTAGCATGCAGAGACTTTTCAAGAGTGGGAAGATGGGAGGAGCCTTGTAATAAACAGAGAAGGGAGGAGTTTGGACACAGTACTAACAGGCTCTGATACCAGGACCCACTGTGGGACACAGATGTTGCAGAACACCTTTCTGAAAAGCACAACTGTCTTGGCAAATCCAGGACTGTAGGTATCTCTGTAATAGCTCTCCAGTAGAACTGATATGTCGCTGCAATGGCACATGAATGGCATGGATTATGTCCTGTCTGACCTGGTCTAGTCCCACAGAAGAAAATAAATAAAATGTATTATATAATAAAAGGTATTATGTCCTATCTGACCTGGTCCAGTCCCACAGAAGTCAATAAACAAAGAAAAATAAAATTAAATGCAAACAAATCCCTTCTTCAATCTCTTGATACTTGAGTATATGTTGGATTTTCAGGATGATATGTGCATGTATTGCATGAGCATCAAAATTCACATAAATATAGGTTAGCAAAATGTTATTCAAAATTTTTGGGATCAAATACCTGTGAAAATGTTGTGTTGATTAAATTCTGATCCCAAGAGCCATGAACTTGATTCACACTTTTTGAAGAATATGTTTAAGAACTTCTTGCATTAGGTTGTGCTGATAGATAAGGCAAAAGGCTCAAATGACACATGAAAATATGTCAGGAATGTTGGCTATGACATCACTGGATGCTCTCCTTTGTGTGACTCCACTGAACTGAGTCCATTTGATCTTTGGGATAGTTAAGAGCGATAAAAGATTCTAACAGCATTCATACTTGTACATCTTTTTGGTTTGGTTTGCACTATGTCCAGTATATTATTTTGTTAGTCTATTATTTTAGTCTATTTAGCCATTTATGCTCTACCAGCACAACTGCCTACCAACAGTGAGACCTCACCACCATAATTCCTGTGATTTGAGTTTTCGTTTTTTCCCGTTCACCTTTGCATGTTCCAGCTCCTCCCATTACATTCTCATTGCATCAGTCGGACATGAATAGGTAAGTGCTCCTATGTTTAATAGTTTACTATTGTTGCCCATAGCTTCTGGGTATATATATATATATATATATATATATATATACACACAGTATATATACAGGACTTTTTTTTTTCAGAGAATAGGTGCAGGAACTCCTCAACCATACCCTCCCCCCCCCCCCCCCCCCCCCCCCCCCCCCCCCCGCCAAACCGCATCAAATGGTGTGTGTGACCAATCTGCAGTACACACAGACTGCAGCGTTCAGGAGTGCATACAGAGTGCAGAGTTCACAAGTGCACTATGTACAAATTGCAGGGATCAGGAGTGTGCTGTGTATAAAGTTCAGGATTCAGGGGTGCGCTACATACAGAGTGCATAGTTCAGGACTGCATTACATACAGACTTCAGGGTTCAGGGGTGTGCTACTTACAGAGTGCAGAGTTCAAGAGTGCACTATGTACAGAGTGCAAGGTTGAGGGGTGTACAATGTACAGAGTGCAAAATTCAGGGGAGCGCTATGTACAAAGGGCAGTTCAAGAGTGCACTACACACAGAGTGCAGGATTCAGGAGTGTGCTAAGTATAGAGTGCAGGGTTCAGGAGCACGCTATGTACAAAGCACAGGATTCAATGGTGGGCTACGTACAGAGTGCAGTGTTCAGGAGTGTGCTATGTACAGAATGCAAGGTTCAGGGGTGCGTAAGGTACAGAGTACAGGAATCAGGGGTGTGCTATGTACAGGGTGCAGGGTACAGGGTGTGCTATGTACAGAGTGCAAGGCAAAGGGGTGCACTATGTACAGAGTACGGGGATCATAGGTGTGCTATGTGCAGAGTGTAGGGTTCAGGGGTGCACCAAATATAGAGGACAGGATTCAGCTCTCTTTCATAGGCTCCTATATATGCACCCCCCATCCACATCTCATTTCCACCCCTTCTCAGCTCTGACCTCTGCGCCACTCCCACCCATCCCCCAATTCTGCATACCCCCCTTAAATGCCCTAATCTTCCCCATCCCCCATTTCTTCATATCTGCCACATATTTTTCCTTTAAAAATAAAAACAACTCCTGCACTGTAGGTGGCTCTGCTTCTTTTATTTGCAGCAAGATCATCTGTGGGTGTCAGCAGCCAATGCGCCTGGGAACAAATGGTGAACATAGAGAGTAGAGCCCACCACACGATACCCTGTTCCACCCATGACCCCACTGCACAATCACCTGCAACTCCCTTGTCAACGCTGTGAGTGTAGCTGTATTGAATAACTATCCAAATCACCAAAAGTGCATTCCATCCATGATTTGGATAGAGTTTTATTGTATGGAGTGATGTTCAAAATGTAAAGAGATACTACACTATGTTAGTGTTTTACTTTGTAGAAGATTTCACCAAATGAGATCAACTCATGAAGGATATCGGAGGACTGGTTCTGCTCACAGAGTCCCTGTACTGGGTGGAGGCACTGAAAACTTTATTATGAAACCCCCCTCTTCTACCTATTTACCTACAGGTTAAGCGCAATATCCTGTTTGGGGAGGGACATTTCTTTGAACCCCCCCAAAAGAGAGCTACAATAGCATTAAACAAACAAAATATCTGCTCATATGAGCCGCCAAGTAAACTCAGGTAAATTCCTGACTAAGGCTACATGTACACTAGCCTAATCTGATCACAATGCAAAACTCGTCAACAATGCGTATGTGGTGCATTTTGGGTTTTCCCGTGGCCGGTGCCCAAAATGTTCCTTATCCTGAATGCTATTCTTCCAGGAGAGGGAGGTTTACCTCACCTAATTGTGGCAGCTCTTAAAC